ATATTATATAAAGGAATATAATAATAATAAAGGAATTATTTCCTGTAATAGGATGTCCAGAGTTTGAGCAAGCTCCAGGCACAGTACAACCATGTGACTCAATGATGTCATTGAGGACCCAGGTTCTTTCTCTCTTTCCCCTCCCATCCTCTGTGTGTTGGCATTGGCCCAAACTGGTTCCCGTCATGGCTGAACACGGGTTGTGGCAGTGACGCGGTCAGGCTGGGTCTGAGCACCCCAAGGAGAGTCCTGCAGGACCAGCCAAGGCTTCACACAGGGTAGAATTCAAACGCAAGCTGGAGAAAGTGAAAACTGAGTTTACTGAAGAGTGTGAGTGACAGGTAAAGGATAGACAGAGTGACTGGGAGACTCAGAAAGCAAAGGAGAATGAGTCTTGTCATCGCTTGGGATTAGGGGTTTATACTGCAAAGGGGTCTAGGGTATACATTCCCATAGGAATCCAGGGTAGGGTCTGATCAAAGGCAGGGGACAGGTGAATGACAGATGTTATAAATTACCAAAGGTAGGGGTATTGATGCCAGCATCAGCGAGGTTTGTCTGAGGCTAATGTCCTGGAACATGGGCAGGAACTGGCTCTTCTTAGGTGTTATCAGGTGTTTGGGGCCTAGAGCAGAACTAGAGAATGTTTAACTTTCTTGTTTCCTCCTTGAAGTGGGAACACTACTTCTTTGGCTTGCTCAGAAGCAAATATAGAACATGAGTTTTCTTAGCAGAAAAACAGCAGAGATGGAGACTTTCTTTTCTTTTTTTAGATATTTATTTATTTATTTGACACAGAGGGAACACAAACTGGGGGAGCGGGGGAGGGAGAAGCAGGCTTCCCGCTGAGCAGGGAGCCCGATGTGGGGCTCCATCCCAGGACCCTGGGATCATGACCTGAGTGGAAGGCAGACACTTAACGACTGAGCCACCCAGGTGTCCTTCTTTTGTTTTTGTAGCGAGGGAGAGAGAGTGCGCCAGCTGGGGGAAGGGCAGAGGGAGAGGGAGTGAGACAATCTCAAGCAGGCTCCACGCCTAGCAGGGAGCCCCCTGCTGGGTTCAATCCCACAACTCTGAGATTGTGACCTGAGCTGAAATCAAGCGTTGGATGCTTAACCAATGGAACTACTCAGGTGCCGCTAGACAGAGCCTTTCTAAGATGGAGTCCCTTCAGCTTCTCCACCTCAGCAATTTTAGGTATTATGCACGCATCTGATCTTGTCTGAGGAAGAAAGACCATCTCTTCTCTGAGGAAAAAAGTCATCCCATACCATGTGATTGTCCCCTTACTGTACTCCTAGAGTCCTGCAGCTGTCACCACAACCAACTGTCGCACATTGCATCCCAAAAAGAAATCTCATATCCATTAGCAATCATTTTCCATTTCTCCCCAACCACCCCCAAGCCCAGCCCTGGGTAGCCTCTACTCCACTCTCCAGCTCTACGTATCTGCTAATTCTGGATGTTTCGTGGATTTAGAATCATATAGTATGTGGTCTTTTGTGACTGCCTTATTTCACTGAGCGTAATGACCATAATGTTTATAAGGCTCATCAGCATCTCTTCCTTGAATCCCCCCTTTTAAGGAGAATGAAACCTTTCCTGAGATCTCTCAGCAGACTTGTCCTTAAGACCCTTTGGTCTAAACGGAGCTACATGCTCAATTTTTAATCCAATCACTGGCGCTGGAGGAGGAATTGTGCATATCTTAAACTGATGTAATCCCACTCCTTGGCAGTATACCCTTCACCCAGATTTCTGAAATATTATCCAAAAACCTATCAATTATTTGTCATTTTCACATTTACTGCCCGCCACTCTGATTTCAGGTCTCCTTCTTAAAAGGACCTTTGTGATTACATTGGACCCACCTGAATAATCCAGGATAATCTTCCCATCTCAAGAACCTTAATTTAATTACCCCTGCAAAGTATTAGTAGATTCCAGGGGTTAAGGACATCTTTGGGGGGGGGGTGTCATTATTCTCTCTACTACAGTGTTCAGTGTTCAGCATCAACTCTTTTGTTGAAGGACACAAACTTGGGCAGAGGGAGAAGCTGAGCTGGGTTGTGTCTGAGACAGCCTCAGCTGACCCCGTGAGGAGCTGTGGGGCTCTCAGAGATGTTTGGCTTTGGGCCAAGTGGCCAAGCTTTTGAATTTGCTCCTAGATCAGTCACTGGATGTGGGCCACCTCCAGAAGGGAGTGACATTGGTGAAGATGGTTCACCACATTGGAAGCTGTCCCTGGAGGGGCCGACAGCTGAAGGCTGTCTGTCCAAACCACCCCCAGCAGCTGGGACAACAGGTGTTACATCTCCATGTCCAACACTCAGTGCTGGTAATGATGCCTGAGAAGAGCATTTGAGAAATTTCCATGTTTCAGCATCATTTGTGTCCTGTCCTTATACATTTACAAACCACATGCTTAAGATGTGGCTTTCACTATAATCCCTTATAGGATGGGAGTGAGGGGACAATGTCCCTCCGTAAATGATTTGAGGGACAATTGTTAGCTTCACTGAGGGGCCAATAGTAGCCTTACTACAGGGAAAATATTAGTAGCATGAGTTATATAACTTCAAAATTAAATAGGATACTACAACAATGCATTAAAATGTCAGTAAATACATGTCCTGTAATGGGTACAGTTAACTCCTGGAAGATGAATTTATGACTAATTTATGACTTAGTCCTATTTTGATGCAGATATTTCCCATTTGCTGGTGACATATCTGAGTCATAGGCTCCCCCTGTTTCTATCTATACAAACATGCAATATAGGAGAGAACATAAGTTCTTTTTTAGAGACCTACCATGTCCCTCACCACTGCTCCCCTCTTCTTTTGCATGGGTAATTCTGAGGTTTTTACTCTATGGAGATGTCTCATCTTTTCTAGTTTCATTATCCATGAAGAAACCTGGGAGTTATTTCCAGATTTCTCTGCTGGGAACACAACAGGCTGACGTCACCATCCCCATTCACCCCTGTACTGGCCACAGTGAATTGAAGGCTTCATATTAAAGAAAGAATGTAAACTAACAAATATTCCCGTGTGGCCCTGGGAACACTTTTCAATTAGGGATGTTCCTGAGTGAGGCCTTTGATGCTATGCATATCTGTGTTTGGCCTCCTTGGAGGGGCTGCTTCTCTCCAGGGGTGTAGTTTTCTCCCTGGTGGCAGACACGGGCCACCCTTCTTCACAGGCTTTCTGGGCATCTGCCTCATGATGCCTGATCTTTCCAACAGTATATGGTTCCAGCTCAAAATCTAGTTTTCCTCTCCCAAGTTTTAACAAAAAAACTTCGTTCTAGATTTTCTGATTCGAAAATCATGGTATGTACCTCCAAGCGGAACTTTTCTCATTTTTGGAAACCACTGTTTTGTTGAAGCCCTAAAGCTCAGTCTGCCCATTGGACCATCCCGCCTTAGTCCCAGATTTTTCTAGCCTTACAGGGAAGCAGTTCAGCAACTCATTTTAAAGCAAATGTTCTAAGAGGTTGTGAAAAGAGAAGCGAAAATAACTATCTCCCATACCTTCAACATCACATTTTATAGCTACAAGATGGGTTTCATGATGATCTTCTCACTTCCCTAATTTACTGACAGAGCCTCGGAAGAGAGGGCATAGCAAATTCCCATGATCTAGTGTGGCCCAGTGAGGATGAGAAGCTGGCAGAGTATGATTTATTTCGCCAAAACCTCGCTGGATGTTCTCATGGTTCCTAACACGTACATGGAGTGGAAGACAGAAAGGACTCATGTCTATATGTAGCAAACGGGGAACTTAGAATTCAAGCTCTACGGAGGCAGGAACCATGCGGGGTGTGGTCCATGAGCGCATCCCCAGGGCCGTACTCCACACTCGGCAAAGCTGGTTGACGGAAAGAAGAAAGTAAGAAAGAAACGTGGATTGACCGGTTTAGTCCCAACACTAATGTAGGGGTGGGGGAGGAGCCAGGCGCTGGTGGGAGGAGGAGGAATTAGAGCTGCTGCCTGGTGGTCAGCGTGAGCCCTGGCCTCTCTGTAGCTCTCTTGCCTCCGGGATTTACTCACTACACGTGGCCACGGAGAAATGTAAAGTAAACCAGATCACATCATTCCCCTGGCTTAATCCCCTCACTCCTTTCCCTCTCCTTCTGTATAACGGGCGAACTCCTTGCGACGGCGGCCCCCGGCCCACCTCCCCAGCGTCCTCGCCCGGCTGACTCCTTGGCCTCGCCCACCCTGGCTCCCACCTGCCAAACTGCCTCAGGCTTTAGAGCTTTTGCACCGGCTGTTCCCTCCCCCAGGCGCTCCTTTCCCCCGGTCTTTGCTGGCCCTGCTCCCTCTCCTTCCCATCAGTTGCCCCCCCCCCTCAGAAAGGCTAACTCAGGCCGCCCGATTTAGAGTAGTTCTCTCCCACCCACTCCCTTCAGATCACGCCGTTCGTCGTGTGTTTGTCTCGCACTTAGGATCTAAATTTGCCCCGTTCATTCACGGTCCGCGTTAGAGCCGGTCCTAAAGCAGTGTTTGCCGTGGTGTCTCCCGATAAAACACTGCGGAGCGACACCCGGACGGGTGAAGGGATGCACGGATGAATCAAGGCGCGGAGGAAAAATGCAGGCGGCCCCCGGACGGCGGCCCCCGCACGCAGCGCCGTTCCCGCGCGTCGGGAAGCGCAGCGGAACCCCAGCGCCGCGGCGCGGTTTCCCGTAAAAGCGCGGCGGAAGCTTGAGGGAGCGCACAGGAAGGCAGGGCGTTGAGCGGGAGCGGCCCGGGTGAGTGGCTGGGGGCGGCGGCGGGGGGCGGAGAGCGGGTAGCGAGCACCGGGCAGGGCGGAGGGTTCCAGGGTGCGGGACAGAGCTGCGGGAGCCTGCCCGGGGCGCGGCGGCGGCGGGGGCCCGGCGTGCGGGCCGCGGGAGCCGGCGGGGAGAGGGTGGGAGCCGGGGCCCCGAGGGATGGTGGGGTCCGGGCTGTCACTCCGCGGGTCAGCTGGTCTGGGTTCTGGTACCAGAGCTGTCGCTGCCCTGTGTGACCCTTACTCACTCTTCTTCCCCTTTGGGCTTCGGCTTACTCATTTGCAAAGCGGGGAGAATCGTTTCTGATCGATTGACGGCTTCATTCATTCCCGGTGCTTTTCTAGGTTGTGTTTGCTAGAGATGCCTAGACCGCGCCTACCCGGGAGGGGTTCGCCGTCTAGTAAGAAAATCCCCACCGTCCTGGTGAGGAGGCCCCAGTGCAATTAGAATTTGGGCGTTGTTACAAACAAACAAACAACGGGAAAAACCAACCAGCTGGCCAACCTGCTTTACAGAGGAGAGATGTTAATTTGAACATATAAAATTTAGACTTTAACTCAGATCGAGGAATACGAATTCTCTTGGGTGCTTTAGAAGGAATATGCATTCTTGGCTCATATATTGCACAATTGCCGTGACAACTTAAATCCAGAAAAATTTACAACGTGCATTCACCGTTCTTTGATACGTGATCTTTTTAGCCAAATGACTTAATCAGATAGGTGTAGTATTCTCATTTTTTACTAATGAGTCATGTGCATTCACAGCCCCATCAGAGGTGATTTTTACAGTCCGCTGAGTTAATCAGAGCAGGTGCTGTGTTCTCATTTGACTAACAGGGAAAGACGGGTAGAGGCTAAGTGACTTACCCAGGCTCTCACTGTCATAAAGTGACTCTGGAATCCAGGCCTCAGGATCCTTGCACCACTGCTCGTTTCACTACACTACATTGCCTGAATGTTTCCATGTTTTTGGTCACTATTTTGTGACCAAAAGGGAGTTCCACTGGATCACGGGTGGATAATCATGGATGAAAACAGACGTTTATCAACTCTCAGATTGTTCTCTAATAGTATTGGTGTTTTCTCCTCTTTCTACCCTTGCCTTGAGTGATTTTTATCTGCACTCAAACTTGACCACCTTCACACTGACGAGTCCCAAATCTGTATCTTCTACCTCGTTTCTCCCAGCTTCAGACTTCTAGATCCAGACCTCCACTGATCATTTGAATATCAACTTGGATATCCTCCGGGCATCTCAAACTCACTCTCTCAAGAGCACACGCCACCTTTCTACACAAACGTGTACTACAAATCTAATGATTGAAAACTTTATTCAATTAGTCGCCCAAGTACAGCCCTGGCTTGGTTTCTCCTCTCACCTCCTACAAGTGGGCAAGTGAGGTTTATAGCCAAGGAGCAGGCTGATGGTTGGTGGATTGAAAGTTAGGTTTGTTGAAGGGTGGACAGTTGTGAAGGAATATGTTAGGTTGAGTATGAGGAAATCAAAGTAAACGGGAGACTTAGGAAGGCCTGTTTGTTAGGATTCTTCTTGGCATCCTTTGTCTTCAGAGATGGTGTTCCTTTCTTCTGGGTTTAGGGAGTGTATTTCATAGATGAGGGTTTTATGACCGGTTTCAGGGAAGAAGGGTCAGGTGAGGAGGTCAGAATGACCTTCCTGCTTCTGTCATTTTCTCAGACTCCCTTAGCTTAAAATATTCAATATGCTAAGTTGCCACATTTTGGGGTAGTATGTCCTGAACCCTATGACATTCACCAGTAAGCTGTTGAATGACTATTATGTGCTGTATCTTATTTTAAGCACTGGGGATATAGCAGTGACCAGAACAAAGTCCTTCCTCTTACAGAGTTGACATTTCAGTGCGATGAGGTCATAAACAAATTAGCAAATAAGGATCATCAAATGATAAGTGCTGTGAAAAAGCAAAACAGAGTAAGGATCTATATTGTCACTTGGTTTTTTAGTAAAGTTGTGTGAATTTACTTTGCTTACAGGAGTACGTGAGTGTGTCTGTCTCCTTTTATTTTGTCATCAGTAAATATGACCATGTAAACATTTATTAGTTTTAGAGGTGAATGGTACTAATTCTTTGTAATTTGCATGTTTTCAATTAACTAGAAGTTGAACATTTTCACACAGCCATTTGCATTTGCCCTGTGAATTTTCTGTGCATGTTCTCTGCTTATTTTCCTTTTGAGGGGCTAGTGTTTTCCTTTATTTTGAATAAGCCCTTCATAGTACTTTTTGTTGAGTCCTTTATATGTAATAGACAAATACTCTTTAACAGTGGTATAGTGACTGTAGGGAGAAAGAAAAAGTGGGAAGCCTGGAATTCGCTTCTCTGTACTTCTCTGCTTGCTTTGAATACGTGAGGTTCAGGTGAGCAGAGAGGGAAGCAGTGAGTTTAGGTGGAAACAAGTGAGGAAAGAAAGAAGAAAGACAGATGGGCAATGACAAGATGAAGTTGATGGAAGACTGGAAGGGAGCAGATGGGAAGAGACCAGAGAAGGGCTAAGAAGGAGTAGGGAAGAAGTAGGAGGGAAGAAAGGTGCATGGAAGGCAGTTAGGGGGCCTCTACACAGTGAGCTGGGGTACTTACTTTTTCTTTTTCTGCCTCTGTTAATATAGCAAATCCTTAGGAGAAGATGACCGTGTTCTTTAAAACACTTAGAAATCATTGGAAGAAAACAACAGCTGGGATCTGCCTGCTGACATGGGGAGGCCATTGGCTATATGGAAAACACTGGTAAGTAACAGCCCACCCCACCTTCACCTCCAACAACAAAACCACCCACCAACAAAAGGACCTACGGTCAAAATCTTGTCTCTGTAGCACATGGTGGTGTAAAAGAAAATTAAGTGTCAAAGCCATAAAGACAAGGGCTTCTTGTAAATAGTTCTGGAAAACTCTAACTACAGCGGTGCGGTGTCTTTAACACTGGGTGACAGTAGATATATAGTAGTGAGATCGGAAGCTGAGGAAATTGAGAGGGAAGTCCCCTCCCAGACTCTTAGTAGACAGGGATTGACCTCCTGTGTCTCCTTTTGATTTTATTCTTTCAGTTTCTTACTACTGTCTCTTGATCTGTTACCACTGGTGCTGTTAGACCCTGAGTGAATCCGCTTGCTCCAGCCCCTGTGGCTTTTCCAACATTTAGCCCATTAGCCTGGCTTAATAGAAATGAGACAAAGACTTTCACACCTTTTGTTTGAATAAGGAATTCAACAGCCATGGGTTTTATTAGCCTCTAAGTATGAAGGGGGAAGAAAGTGCCAGATCTCCCTTCTGGTTTAACATGGTAATAAGATTTAAAGAAAGTTTTTATGTAAAATTATATAAATAATTATGAGAGCCAATTAAATTTTTGTCTTTTGGGGATTAAAGGTGACATCTCAAGTATTTAACAACACTCTGTAATCCATCTAGGTGTCTTAAATGACTGCTTTGTTAAACAGAAAACAGCTTTTGTAAAGAAGTCTCCACAGTGGAAGGGAGATACTTCTGTAAACTGTCTCAGTTCACCTTTGCATGGGTCAGAGATAATCTTAGGATGCACCATGGTGTCGAGTTTTTTGGCAGCTGTAGATTAAAGGGAATAGATCCCCCCCCCCCCAAGTATTCTCAAGGCTCAGTGCTTGAATTCCATTAGCTAGCATGTAAAGGACAGACTTGAGAAGCTTAAAATTTGTAATACATTTTAAAAAAATAGGTGGAGGAAATGTTTCGACAAATGGAAAATGAAACATAATGTGTGCCTTTTCTCCCTTTTCTAACCATCCTTGAGTCCTTATACCTCCTGCCTCATGGGAAATAGGATTCCCTTTGCAGAAGCCCCCAGTCCGTGCCATAGCTCATGCGAGCAGGAAATGATCCCTGCGGGTCACTGCCGTTTCCGCTACTGGGTGAAGATTTGAGGCAGTATCCATGTACCCTGTCCAGGATGTCTTGCAGGTACCCTAGTAATTAGTTAGCTCTGAAACCACTTGAACCAAAATGCCGTTGGAGTCTGGAGGCCTCATTTTGCTCTGTTTCCACCTTTGACAATCAAGGGTGTGTTCAGGATGCAAGCCCTGTTGTTCTGTTGCTTTTCCTTTTCTCAAACTTTTCTCCTGTATTCTGTAGTACTATGTGGTCTTTTTGTTTTAAAATTGTAGTAGAAAGCACATGATTTGTCACCGTAGCCGGTTTTAAGTGTGCAGTCAGTAGTGTTAAGTAGATGCCCATTATTGTGCAACAGAGCTCTAGAATGTTTTCATCTTACAAAACTGAAACTCTCTACCTATTAAACACAACTCCCCATTTCCTCTCCCCACCCCCAGCCCCTGGCAAGCACCATTCCACTTTCTGTTACTTTCAGTTTTACTATCTCAGGTACCTCGGATAAGTGGTATCATACAGTGTTTGTGTTCGGTGACAGGCTTCTTTTACTTAGCATGATGTTCTTACGGTTCATTAACATTGCAGCACATGGCAGGATTTCCTTCTTTTTTAAGACTGGATCCTATTTTGTTCTATGCATGGATATAACCACATTTTCTCTATCCATTCATTGTTAATGAACGTTTGGGTTGCTTCCATCTCTTGGCTATTGTGAGTAATGCTGCTACAGTGAATTTGGGTGTATAGTTATGTCTCCCAGATCTTGTTGTCAGTTCTTTAGGGTATATAGTCTGAAGTGGGATTGCTGGGTTACAGGGTGGCTCTAATTTTTTGAGAAAGCCCTACACTTTTCCATAGTGGCTGCACCATTTTACAGTCCCACCGACAGCAGGAGGCTTCCAGTTTCTCCACATCCTTCCCAACACTTGTTACTTTGTTTTTGTTTTGATAGTGGCCATCCTAATGGGCACAGTACAGCATCTTCTGATTTTGATTTGCATTTCCCTAATGATTAGTAATATTGTGCATCTTTTCAAAGGTTTAGACACCATTTGTTTATCTTTGGAGAAATGTCTGTTCAGATCCTTTGCCTGTCTTTAAAAATCACGTTCTCTGTTTTTTTTTGTTGTTGTTGTTGTTAAATTGTAGGGCTTCTTTAGCCCATTATGAGATACATGATTTGCAGAGATTTTTCTCCTGTTCCATAGGTTGCCTTTTCACTCTGTTGATGGGGTCCTTTGATGCCCAGACGCTTTTAAGTTTGATGTAATCCCATTTGTTTATTTCTATTTTTGTTGCCTTTATTTTTGGTGTCCTAAGAAATCACTGCCAAATCCAATGTTACGAAGCTTTCCCCCTGTGTTTTCTTCTGGGGGTTTTATAGTTTTAGGTCTTATATTTAGGTCTTTAATCCATTTTGGCCCTTTCCCCATTACGTTGTTTTGGTGTCCTTGTCTAGCATCAGTTGATCATAAATGTATTTGTTTATTTACTCACTTGTTCTCTGTTCTTTTGGTCTGTATGTTTGTGCCAACACCACCAGCTTTTAAGCTTTGTAATATGTTTTGGATATTAGGAAGTATGAGGCCTCCACCTTGTTTCCTTTTCAAGATTATTTTGGCTAATTGGGGTCCCTTGTGTTCCATATGAATTTAGGATTTTTTTTTTTTCTATTTCTGCAAAACATGCCACAGATTTCGATAGGGATTGTGTTAAATCCGTGGCTCATTTGGGGTAGTATGGACATTTTTGTGATATTAAGTCTTCCAGTCCACAAATATGCATTTATTGGTGTCTCTACATTTTTTCAGCAGTGATTTATAGTTTTTAGTGTACAAGTCCTTCACATTCTTGGGTTAAGTTTATTCCAAAATATTTTATATTTTGGTGCTATTGTAAATGGGATTATTTTCCTAATTTCCTTTTTTGGATTGTTCATTGTGAGGGTGTAAAAATAATGGATTTTTATGTGCTGATTTTTGTATCCTGCAACTTTGCTAAATTTGTTCCAGTGGTTTGTTGTATGGAATCTTTAGAGGGTCATCGGCAAACAGATCATTTCTATTCTTTTCCAGTTTAGATGCTTTGATTTCTTTGTCTTGCCTAATTGCTCTGGCTAGGACTTTCAAAACCAGGTTGACCAGGAGTGGCGAGATCTTTGCCTTGTTCTGATCTTTTAGAAGCTTTGTTTTTCACCGTTGAGTATAGGTTTTCCATATGTGGCCTTTGGCTATGTTCAGATACTTTTTTTTTTTTTTTTTAAATCTTTTCTCCTTTATCTGTATGTTCCCAGCATTTCCACATGATAGTCTTCGCATTCTTCTTTTATTATATTCTAGTTTCTTCCCTGAGAAGAATCTTAACCTGCAGCTCTCTTGAATACCAGCTGCCTTGCCCCGTCAAGCGGGTTGTCAGCTGGGGTTAGCATTCTTTTAGCTCCTCAGTAGCTATTCCAAACCATCAGTCTTCCATCTTCTTATAAACATCTCCTTTCCTCTGAGGCTCGTGTCTGGCTGTGTCATATGACTGTGAACCCCCCCAGCTTCCTGGGATCTCCTCTACTTTAGGCGTCAGTGCCTGGTTTACCAGCTTCCTTTTCCCTCTGTCTTGTTGTCTTGCCGAGTGCTCTGAGGGTACCTGCGGATGACCTGTGTAGCAGCCTGTCCTTCACTTTCCCTGGCTTCATCCACTCCTGGGACTTTCACTGCTACTTCATACACTTGCCACTTCCTCTGCCCTTGGGGGCTGAGGACCTTATTGTCACTTGCCCCTGTTCGGCTCCTGAAATCTGGAGCTTCGGTGTCCCAGTCCCTCATTTCAGTCTGCCATTATTCGTTTCCTAACCTTAGTTCCCTTTTACAGTGTCACCAAGACTTCCTGTCCCTTGGGCCCTCCTCCAGTTCCGTGCTAATCTGTCACTCTTCTCTACTTTCTTCACTTTTTTCCGATCCTAATTTCTCGATCCAACACATCACACACTTCTCAGCTGCACGTTTCACACATCCTCCCAGCCTTCTTGATCTCTCATTCCTTCTCTACAGTTAAGCCATTCGAATTGGTTTTGTCCGTTTCCCAACCTCCTACTCCTTCTCTCTCCTATCCAGTCTTTGTTAGAATTATTCTCACCAGTTTTATTCCCCATTCTTTTTAATAGCCCAGCTCCAGACACAGTTGACTGTCCTTGAAGTACTTCTTTTCCACCGGCTCCTGTTCTTCCTCCTTGATGTGTGGGTGTTTGTCGCTCTCTTGCTCTCTTGGCGTGCCCTTCCCTTCCACTCATGCATGAGGGAAGTGGTTCTCGAGGACTCTGCCACTGGCCATCTTCTCGCACTGTGTCCTCTCCCTCTGTAATCTCTCCTCACAGTGCCTGCGGTTTCCAGCTGTAGTAGGCAAATCCCAGGTTCATGACCATTTTGACCTCTTCGGAGCTCCAGACCTACATCCGTGTTCCATCGCTTACTTATCTACTTGCCTGCTTCACCAGTGCCTTAAGCTCAGCGACTTGGAAATCAGGACTTTCTTGCCACCCCCACCCTTCTCAGTGATCAGTACCACTCACCATTTTCTGGCTTCCCAAACTAGAACGTGAACGTCACCCCGTGATTGTCCTTGCTCCTCCTTTCCCACATTCAGGCCACGCGTTCTAAGTGAGTTTTGCCTCTTCTACATCTCCGAATGTGTTCAGTTTTCTTTTTGGCTGCTGTACTGTCACCACCACCGAAATGTCATCCCTGGCCTGGATTCGTATTAAATGTATCCTAACTGTTCTCTCCTCACAGGTACTCTTGTCTGTTTCTTATCTAATTTCCCCACCCTGCCAGAGTCATCTTTTAAGGAGTGAGGACTGCTTAAAAAAATAAAAAAAT